TGTGTGTGTGTGTGTGTGTGTGTGTGTGAGTGAGTGTATGTATGTGTGTGTATGTGTATATGTGTTTCTGTGTATGTGTGTGTATGTGTGTATGTGTGTATGTGTGTGTGTGTATGTGTCGGTGTGTATGTGTGTGCATGCATGTGTGGGTGTGTCTGCGTGTAAGTTTTTGTGAGTGTGTGTGCGTGTGTGTGTATGTGTGTACGTTTGTGAGGGTGCGCATACGGTGAAAAAAGGGGGGAGGGTTGAGTCTTTGAGTGAGGTGACAGTAAGCCTATCACATAGCTTGTGTATTTATTTACACTAGGGTGAAGGTGGCAGGGTATGCGAGTAAGATAGTGATATGTTTTTTTTTCCTTTTGTTTTATTTAGAGATAGCAACATGTCATATTACAAGCAGCAGCTTTGCTGTAAACTCTGATCCAACCATTCATTGTTACTGCTGATAGACTCCCCCTACTTCCCCCGACAACGAACATGTAACATTTAGGTCACGTCCTTTGTTTGGCTTTTTCAAACTATTGCAGGCCGCTCTCGTGGCCTACAGGTTAAGATGTTGGCCTGTCATTCAAAAGTCCAGGGTTCGAATCCCGGTAGCGACCGAAACATTCTCTTCTCTTAAGTTGTTCCCTTTCCCCTCCTTTCACCTCCCTTCCTGCAATGTTCTGTCGTCTACTTTCGTCTCCACTTTCTGCCCCCACCCCCTCACCTCCTTTTCCCCCTCCTCTGAGCTCCTGATTCTTTCTGCAGCCTTTCTACTGCTACTCCTTGGCTCCTTCTTACTGCTGTCTTTCTGCCACACCCCTGATCTTCTGGTAGAAATGATCTACACCTAGCCTTCACGGACAAGAGCAAAAAATCTCCGAGGTCCCGTGTGCAAGTTGCGCACGCTAAAGATTCCTTGGTGGTCTAACATCGATTAGAGTAGGCTTCGGCCGCCACGCGACAAATTTCCTACCAACTAAAAAAGGATTAATGTGTCCCGCGCGCTCATATGACCTTATGCAGTTGCGAGAGTCGTAAAACATTTACCAACACCCCCCCCCCCCAAAACAAACAAATAAACAAAAAACAACAACAAAACACTCCCGCGAACGTATAAATTGTGACTGGAAATGCGTGTGGATCCTTATCGTCACTGAATTAAACTCGTTTGAATGGAAAGTGAACCTCCCCCCCCCTCCAAAAAAAAAAAAAGAAAAAAAGAAAATGCAATTTCCTGAGGTACATTCTAACAATGATTGTAAAAGGTTTCCGAGCTGAGGACAATTGAAAAGTGCTCTCAACTTTGAAAAACAAATTCAAATTGTTTGTACAGGATTTGTTTGTCTTTTCCTGCACATGAACGAGTACTTGTTGCGTGCTCACTCGGATTATCCAAAGCTTTCTCTTGAATCAAACAAACAAAACCATTGTGTACATAGAGATTAGCAGCGAGTGCCACATATACTGAAAAAAAATGTGGAAAAGTGGAAAGGTTCCATTTCCGGTATGGCGATTGTGCTGAGCAGGTGTAGGGAAATGAAAAGATTTTTTCTGACAATTGTTTGGTTTTGATTATTGCTGAAAGATCAATTAATTCTTTCTACTTTTTGGTTTCTACGATTGATGTAATAATCTTCTATTGTGAGTGTTAACCGATCGTCGTAACTCATTTTTAGATTCAAAAACTACAGAAGCAAACAGGAAATAAGTGTTTTTCATTTTTTGGGGGAAAAACCCTGTTTCCAAGAAGCAAGAGAAAATTCCCAAATGGAAAGATTCTTCCATCAGGAAATCACGACACGATTACTTCTGTAACTAAGGGCTGTCTATTTCCTCGTTCTGAAGCCATGGATGATCGGAAGGGGGGGGGGGTCCTCACTATCATTAAGTTCTACCGTTGCTTAGGTGCGGTGGAGGAGCGGTTAATGAGCTCGTCTCCGAAGCGGAAAGTCCGGGTTCGAGCCTCGGTTCCGACACGGATTTTTTTCACCCCCTCCTGCCCACCCAGCAGTAATGGGTACCTGACTTCGAGTTGGGGAAGTAAAGGCGGCGTGGAAAGGAACTGGCCACTCTACCACAATATGCTGAAGGCCCAGGACGTTGTCTCACTAACAAGGCAATCCCCAATGTCCGGATCGGATGCGGGAACAACTTTACTTTACATTTACCGTTGCTTTGGTCGTAAGGACAAGCGGGCTAACCCAGATTTCGGGGATTTCCAGAGATCTTGACTTACACCAAAAGAGGGCATTGCCCTACCTATAGGAGAAGTTTGGTTTCATTGGTGTGTTTATTTGTTTGGTTATAGAGAAAACTCTCCTTGTCTTTTAAAGAGACTGAACAAGGGTTCAAAAACGTTACCTCCGATTTTCTCAAAACAGCATTTTTCGGGATAGCCCCTTTGTGCTTAAAGACGACCAATTCTATAATTAGATCGCCCCCTTCCTCGTGTCGATGTATCGGGAAGTTCCGTACCTTGTGCTCTCAACGTGTCAAAATGTGTATGTGTGTGTGTATCTCCCTGTCTCTCTCTCTCTCTCTCTCTCTCTCTCTCTCTCTCTCGCTCGCTCTCTCCCTCTCTCTCTCGCTCGCTCACTCTCTCCCTCTCTCTCTCTCTCTCTCTCGCTCGCTCTCTCCCTCTCTCTCTCTCTATGTATATATCTCTCTCCCTGTCTCTATGTATCTCTCTCTCTTTCT